ATTACCTTAAAGAATGGAAACCATTGATGGACTATTTGCAAAATGCAGGCGGGGCAAAGCTGACATGGGGATTTGAAGATTAGATAACAAATGTAATGGGATATGTTTTGACAAAGAATTATTCCTACTTAATGCATTAAAAACTAGCACTTATGACACTTAAGACCAGAGATAGATTGGAAGCTATCTATTTTTCATATCTTTTTTCTTTTTCTATCACACTTTTTCTTTTCCTTTTCTTTATAATTTGTATTTTCAATTTTCTTTTTCATTTCTAACTTTTAACTTTGTAATCTTAAAATCTTAATAAAATAAATGGAAACCATTGATGGACTATTTGCAAAATGCAGGCGGGGCAAAGCTGACATGAGGATTTGAAGATTAGATAACAAATGTAATGGGATATGTTTTGACAAAGAATTATTCCTACTTAATGCATTAAAAACTAGCACTTATGACACTTAAGACCAGAGATAGATTGGAAGCTATCTATTTTTCATATCTTTTTTCTTTTTCTATCACACTTTTTCTTTTCCTTTTCTTTATAATTTGTATTTTCAATTTTCTTTTTCATTTCTAACTTTTAACTTTGTAATCTTAAAATCTTAATAAAATACTATTAAAAAAAAAAAGAGAACAGTAGAATATAAGAGCTGGTTTTTTCACCCCTTGAAATATCCTAGAGGGGGTTCTACACTGATGCAACCTCAGAAGCACTGTGGCACATAGAAACCATGGTTAGACCCAAGCTGGGCCATGTTCCAGAGCAGAGAGCAGCATCAGGGACTGATGGAGGCCCACCAGAATTCTGATGATCCTGGATGGGGGGAAAGAATGTTGACTTTCAAGAATGATTGAAAGAAAGTACACTGCTTTCTAATTTGCTCCTTGTTTTTCTGTTCTCCACGCAGACCAGGGAAAAAAACCCTATATTCATGCTGGCTAAATAGCCAACAGCAAGCAGCCAACTCTGCACTTAGCCTGACGGATTTTCATCCCTTTGAAGGCAGGATGTGTGAGCATCCCGTCATGCTGGAGAGGAAACAGAGCTCTGAGTCATAGCAAAGGGGCCCAGCAGAAGTTGCCTTTGTTCACTGCTATTCTTTTGCAATGACACATCTGTCACGTTCTGCCCATCAGGGCTGCTGTGAAATCCACAGCCCCCTGCAGCTGGCGTCTCAGTGTTGAATTGTACTCACACAGCTGCACAGCCCTAGACCAGCTTACTCCACTTCCCCACTAAATCAAATACAGTGATTTGAGCTCAGGAAGGGCTGCTTAGCATCCGGATCCGAGAAGCCAAATGAGAGAAGTGTGGGATTAAAAAGCTGCAGAATAAAAAGAGAAGTCTGTTTTAGCTGCAGTGTGCTAAGAGTGGGAAAGGAGAGAATCAGAACCAAGAGGCATACCTCCACCTAGAATGAGTCATACAGAGTTTCTACATCTGCACCAAATGTATGGGGCAATATTGGAAAACCTCTTGGGCACTAGACAAATTGTAATCTGTGGAGTCCTGGGTGCTCTCTGAGCTGGGTTGTTTGCTTGATGTTTTGTTACCCGACTAGGTAACATCATCAGTGCGCGGGAGTGTGGGGTTTGCTCCATTATATACAGTAGCTTGCCCTGCTAATGTTGGTGGGAGTGCGGTTTTCTCCTTGGTAGTTCCTTGATTATGGTATTGTTTTCTGCTTGTTTGTCTGCTTGTCTTCTTGGTAGTTCCTTGACTGGAGTATTGTTTCCTGCTTGATTATTTATCTGATGTTAATCCCTGCTTGTCTGTGTATAGGTTGCTGGAGAGGATGTTTCCTTCTTAGCTTTTTTATTGTCTCTTTTCAGTGGTGTGTAAATGTGGTTTATCTTTATGTATCTATTGATGGCTGATGTGTCTGAGTGCCAAGCTGCCAGGAGTTCCCTATCATTTTTTTGGATTTAGCTTGGTCTAGGATCTTCAGTTTCCCAGGTGAAACTATGGTTGTGTCTGTCCACGTGTTGTGAGATTAAGGAGTTTTCACTGTGTTTTCTGACTACTAGTTGGTGCTCATGGATGCGCTCTGCTAGTCTTCTGCCTGCCTGTCCTACATAGTGGTTGTTACAGTCCTTACACTGTTTGTTCTCTGGAGGTTGAGTCATGGCAACTGGAATTCTTTTCTTTTGGTATGATACGTTTCGCTGCTTGTCCAAGCGGCTTCTTCAGCCTAGAAAGTTGGTTGGGGGGTCCAACCAACTTTCTAGACTGAAGAAGCTGCTTGGATAAGCAGCGAAACGTATCATACCAAAAGAAAAGAAGTCCAGTTGCCATGACTCAACCTCCAGGTAATTCCACCTGGATGACTGAGAATCTTCATCAACATACACTGTTTGTTGTAGATGATTCCTGTTTTTTCTTCTTGGGCTACTGGTTCTTTTGGTGACAGCCCCTCTTCAACTGAAAAAGAACTGGACTTACGCAAAACTTGTGCTCAACCTCTCTTCACATAAGTTTGCATGGTTTTAGATCACCAAGAGAGATATCATTTGAGGCTGCTCTGTACCAGTTTGGTGTCGTGGTGAAGGTGCTGGCCTAGAAACCAGGAGACCGTGAGTTCTAGGCCTCCCTTAAGCATGAAAGTCAGCTGGGTGACTTTGGGCCAATCC